AACCCAGGAAAGACCGAACTTCTTTGACCGAGGTAGGGGCAGGCCAGTCCCGAATACCGTTTGTTTTAGCATTATCCATTGCTACGCATCCAGGGCGAATAATCATTCCGAGGTACTCCACTTCTCCTGCATCGAACGTGCATTTTTCCGGTTTAAGGAAAAGTTTCTCTTGTCGAATTCGTTCAAGGATACGCCGGGTGCGTTCACGATGGGAGACGAGGTCGTTGGAGAATATAAGGATGTCGTCCATGTATATAACAAGCCATCCTTCGTTGATTTCCTGCTGGAACGTTCTATTCATATACGCCTGGAAGGTGGCCGGGGAATTGCAAAGACCGAAGAACATGACGTTAGGCTCAAAAAGCCCGTATTCTGTAGTGAAGGCAGCTTTCCATCGATCCTCTGGAAGAATGCGGATATTATTATATCCAGACCGGACGTCCATCTTCGTAAAATACTTGGCACCATGTAACCGAGCAACCAGGGAGAGTGGCAGTGGGAGTGGGTAGGCGTTCTTGACGGTCCATTCGTTGATATACCGATAGTCCTGACAAGGACGGAGATCTCCACCCTTTTTTCCTACGAAAAAGAAACCGCTAGCTTGCGGTGATTTCGATTCGGAAATGAATCCTTTCTGAACGTTTTCATCAATGAATGCTTTGACCGCCGTCCGCTCCTTTTCGGATAGCGGGTATACTTTAGACGTCTTGGGAATGAAACCTGGTTTGGTTTCTATCCGATGATCTATACCAGGTCGCTCTGGTGGTAATTGATTTAGACCATCCTTTGCGAAGATATCGGCAAAGTCATGAAGGTAAGAGGGGACGAGTTCCTCGAACGACTTCTTCTTCTGTTCGAGCCCGGCAGCTAACGCAAACTGCTGAGCTTTGTTGCTTGTCTTTGCATATTCAACAGGCAGTGCCAAGGGGGTGATCTTGGGTCGTCGTTCAGCGATGCTAGTGCCGTCTTTTGTCAAAGGGGTGTCAAGCGAGACATTGGTGATTACCCGAAGTTCCGAGTCGTCGGCAGGGTATTCGACTAGAAATTCATCATCCTCTAGATGGTAGGTGGAGATTTCTCGCACGGGTGGTGCGTAGTTCATCGTCCATACGTCCTCCTTCGTATCGAAGGAATCATCGTCGTCGTCTGGTATAGGGTCTAATTTAGGCAACACTGGCGGGGTTGCTTCTTCGTCGGCGATCTCTTCTATTGTGGCATGTAGTGGCCACTGTTCAACTGTTTCCCTAGGAGGTGTTTTCGGCAGCACTACCTTTGGGGTAGGTTCTTCTCTCGTTTCTTCCGTTTTACGAAAGAGAGGAGGCAGTCTGTTCTTCTTTCGTTCTTGATCAACTTCTTCCTCGATCTGATCGCTCTTCTCCGTTCGAGAGAGTTCTAGCGTTTCCGCTTTCCATCGGATTACTGGGTCCATGGCGCGTAACCAGGGGATCCCAAGTAAAATCTGATCACGTCGACCTAGTCGTGTGATGTTAAACTTTCCGATCATCGATCGGTTGTCTATTTTGACGATGAGGACGCAGTATCGAGTGATAGCGCCCCCCTTTGCATAACTTCCATCCGCGGTCGTAACCCAAAACGGTTTTGACAATCTATGCATTCGGATGTTGTGAGTTTTAACGAATTCTTCTGAGATAAAGGTTCCGGCAGCGCCGGAGTCAACAACTGCTGTTGTTTCGACGGTTTTCAGACGTGTTTTGGAGATGAGGGAAATGGGAACGCGAAGTTCCTTTCTGATTCCTATGCTCTGTACAAGTCTTATGGGTACATCGGAAGATACGGACGTCGATCCCGTCTTCCATATCAAAAATCCTCTGCGATGCGTCGGATCGTCGTATCTTCCTCTTCTTCTTCGCTGTCGCTCATCTCTTCTCTGTGAACAGGGATCTTCTTCTTCTGTGGGCATGCTCTAGTCATGTGTCCCTTCTGGTGACATGTGAAGCAAAGCCCTTTCCTCATATGTTCGCTTCTTTCGACTTCAGTGAGTCGGTCTACCTCCATAGCGTTTGGGTCGTGTCGGTCGATGGAGGGTCTGGGTACGTATCGGTGTCCGGAGGGTTTGGTGGTAATTCGGTGGTTAGACCTAAACGCGACACCCCTCTGGTAGTTGCTATCAAGTCTCACAACTGCGGCGATGTATTTGTCAAAATCCGTAGGGATGGTTTCCATCTGATAGACGGAATTGACGATCCCCTTCTTTAAGCCGTCATTAAGGAACGTGATGAGGACGGCGTCTTGCTTGACACCTGCTTGTGCAGCGAGGGTCTTGAAGCTAGCGATGTAAGATGTGATATCGCCTGTCTGTTTCAACGTCCTAAGTTTGTTCATGGCGGTACCGACGGTGTCGGCGGGTACGAAGGCTTCCTTGAACTTAGTTTCGAAGTTCGCGAAGGTTCCATAGGATTTGGCGGCGGAGTTGTCGACTTCAGTGTAGAAGGTGAGTGCCCACCCCATAGCACTGTCTTCTGTCATATACGCGAGAGCGGTAATAACCTTCTTCTCGTCGGTATTGTAGATCGTAGCATTAAGCGCGAAGTACGCCTTTATTGCATACAACCATCGTAGTGCCTGCTGAGGGCTCCCGTCATAGGTAGACGGAGCTCCGGCTTTCAATTCTGGGGAGGTGGCGACGGTGGACATCCTGAGCGTTTCTGGTCAAGGGATGTTTCTGGTTCAGGGGAACGTTCTCGTTCTCTCGCTGAGTTCTTCTTGGTTCTGTATAACCTCTTTGATGAGAGGGTCGATGGGGGACTTTAATCTTTTGTTACGGTAGACCGTAGTTTCGACTAGGATAGGCACGGTGATAGACACTCGATAAGAGTGACGTCTAGCGCCGAATCGTAACCTCACAAATGTAAGGCTTCTGTAAGACAAACTAGAGAGAGTGTCTCTAGTTTGAATATCGGTATCAGACACTTAAGATTGGGGGTCTCAAGCGAAGGATGTTCTTGGTAAAACCTAGTAGATTAAAGTGAAGTCTAACTAAGTATAAGACCCTGCTTATATAGGTAGAGCTACTTTAGGGCCGGCACGTACACGTCATCAAGATGAGTCATGGATAAGAGAAATGACGTCATCGAGACGAGTCATAGATAAGAGAAATGACGTCATCGAGACGAGTCATAGATAAGAGAAGTGACGTCAGCTAACGACGGCATGAGGCGGTCGTGCTGTAATACATGAGTATGATAGCGGAGTTAGTCTAGTGATGGCACGGTGAAGTGCGGTCATGACGTAATACAATGGATACAAGAGAAAATGATAGGGGGGTGACCGTTTACCGTAACACTATCCAATGCTGCTTCTTCGTCACTTCAATGCACTCTGCATAGTGATTCTTGAGGTTCTTCAGGTTGTTGTGACAAGGGTGGGTGGGCAGCCCTTGTAGTTGGTATGCTAAGTGGCTGAGGTCATTGACCTGATGATGGAAGTTTGTTAGTTCATGGGTCCACCAGCACTTCAAATGCAGACATGGTCTGGAGTAGGGGACTTTCACCTCCATAGTGCTGATGATGGCATGGGTAATGTGCTTGGCCAATTGTTGAAATTCCTCTTCGGAGGCTAGAGGACACAGAGGGTGAGGCATTAGGATGTTACTAAGATGCTCGTTGAACTCCTCCCAGTCTGTTTCTTTCCAGTTTCTTCAGGGTTCATCCTTAGATCATGCGGTGTTGAGCTCGAGGATAAGTTGAATGGGTATGTGGTCCATGCGAGGGCCACATTGACCTGGGTTTGTATTGCAAGAGATTACCACATCTACTAACTGTTCAGTTCCAAAGATATTGTCGGGTCTGGTCCAGTTGCTGGTGGAGGTCGATTGTAGGGTGGGTATGCTGCAAGGGAGGAGCTGGATCATGTTAAAGTTAGCAATGAGGTCAATTAGTGGGCCCAAGGTGGTGTAGTTAAACAGGTGTCAGTTTCGGGCCTCTTCCCAGAGTGGGTGATGTCTGTTGAAGTCCCCCATCCATAGCATGTGGTCATCCTCCGTTGGTTGAATAGTTCCAATGTTGTGTTCCAGATAGTCATCGAGTGCCATGAGCATGTCTTGCAAGTTTCCATCATTATAAATATTGAAGATAGTACAATGGCTGTAAGGGCCCAAGAGTTGGGTTATTACTACATCAGAGGATGGGAATGAGACCTGTTTCCATGAGTTGGAATCTAGTGAGGTGTTAATGAGTGTGATTGTGCAAGTGCATTGCTGGGGATGGGTGTAATGGTTCATTAGGTATAGAACGTGCCACTTGTGGTTAGCGCACATATTACAGAGGAAATTAATGTACGGTTCTTGAATTACCATAACGTCCCAGTCAGTTACTGATATGTTGTTGAGGAGGGAGGCTTGGGCTGTCATGGAGGTATTAAGATTTTGCTGCCAGGTCTGTAGTGTTGCATTGGGTCCATTGGGTTGTTCAGACATGGTTTGACAGGGAGGAGGGGGGACTGTCAGCGAAGCCATTATCGCCATCAAGGGAGGACCCTTGAGTAATGAGGTCATGAATGGATTTATCTTGAGGAGGTTGGGGAGATTGAGTGTGGGCTTGCTACTGTTGAAAATTGATAGTGGATTGCTGAAGGTGTTGAGGTGGGTTTTCCCTGATATGGTGAGGGGGGGGATGTGGCAATTCGGACAATCTTGGTGGCCTTGCAGGACGAGTTACTTGAGTCCATACATTCTCAGTAGGGAAATAGGGCATGCAATTTTCCGGATACTTGTCATCAATCTCCCTGCAGCATCTGGCGAATTCTGGGCAAGTGCAGTTCCAACTGGTGTGTTGCTGGCTTCAGCAATTGACACAACAAGTCATACAGTATGAGTTGCATTCAGCTGTCCTATGGTTGTTTGCACAAGTGCCACAGGTGTCCTGTGAGGCCATGCAGTTTTTTGCAATGTGGTTGAACTTCTGGCATTTGGCACAGCGTATGAGTTCTTTCTTATCCTTGCGAATGCTGATACATTTGTTGGCAATGCAGATGCCGTCACGAAGGATGTTGTTTGCTATGTGGATGTCAGTGATCTGCATTAGGGCAAAAGCCTTCCTTTGTTCCACAGAATGTTTTGTAGGGGGCTTGATCCATCTGATGTTTGCTATGACATTCAATGGGAGGTTGTTTTCTTGCTCAACTTGCTTCAGGAAGACCTCATTTTCTATCTGTAGTTGAATGGGTAAGTATTCTAATACTATTGGGTATGTGTGACGACAGAACAATACTGCTAAGTCTAGGTTGCTTTCTAATGCTGCCTTCCCTGTTGGGTTGTTGAGCCAGGACACCAGCAATTCAGACTCTAGCTCTACTACCAGTCCCCCATTCCTAAGCATTGTAATCGCTTTAACCTTCCCTAGAGGGGTGGATTCATCTCGAGCTTTCACCAGAGCATCATTTAATTTGTTTGCAATGTCAAGTTTGGAGGTATCAGGAGGAAAGAGTGTTGCTCCTGGCAGTGGGTCAATCAGTATTTCCCTAGCCCTGACAGCTGCCTGTCCCAGGGCTTGATCAATCGCTGGGGGTAGGTGTGAGGTAACAATGGAGCTGTAAGTCGGCTGCATGGGGTTGGACTGTTGGGTGGTCATCAAGGAAAGCTGTTGGGACATGTTGTTGACTCTGTCCTGCATGGCTTCGAGGGAGGGAGGGAGTGAGTTGAGTGCGCCTTGACATGTTTCAACATATGAGAAGAGCGTGTCCACAGATTCCTCTATGCGCTCTACTGCTGTCTTAACACCTTCCTCCTCTTCATTTCATTCCCTTTTCAACGTATTCTGTAGTCTTGTTGCTTGTTCTAGCGAGGTGGTTAGGGATTGAGACACAGTATGAACGAGAGCGACTTGGGGGGATATGGCAGTGATGACATGATTGACTAGGCGGGTGGTGAGAGAGTCCATGATCTGTTCAGCTGCCTTTGCCGCAACTTGGTCCACGACTTTCTCCACTATCTCGTTCGCCTCGTGATCCTTCATAATGAATGCCACTGCCCGAATTGCAGCAGTTACTGAGGCCAGGGTAGAGCTTGACATCTGCGAGATCTGGAAAAGGATTGAGATTAGATGGGTTAATGTGCAAGGTTCGTTGATGAGGCTGAGTAGTTTCGATTCAAGAAATTTCTTTCCGCTACTGGTGTTCTTTACCGTGTTGGGCATTGCTTCAATAGTGGCTTGGGGAAGCGTTGACCTCGTGGTTTTACGAGTGTTGAGGCTGTAGGTGGGTGAAGAGGTGGGTGAGGCAGGTGTTGAGCTCGCGCTCATGCTGGAGCTTCTTCGGCCCCCCGGCATCCTTGGTTTTTTGTGCTAGTTGAAGGTTAGTTGGGGTCAAGGTCTAGATTAATGGAACGAGGATTCTGTTGTCCGCTGAGGGCGGGGTCGCCTAGAGGCGATGTTGACGCTGTGAAGCGCGCTGTTGACGAGGATTTTTCGGGGTCCTAGTCGGGGTGCCACTTGGTAAGGGTCCAAGAAGCCTTGCTATCGTGGTTACCAGCCCAGTCTCGATGGTTAATTTGATAAGCTTCGCGAACAATTATTTTGCGTGCTTGAAACCCGATTTCTCATTGCATTGCACGAGCTGTAATTGGAATGAGTATGATTCATAGTGAAAGTCGTTGTATCTTACACTGAGCATCATGTACACGGCGATGACCGAGTCGCACACAAGCTTGCTGACTAGCCAGACCTAGTTGATGTGCGTTGAAGCCATATGCCTACGCCACATGCAAGACAACTCGCTGGGACATAAAATGGCATGGGGTAGTCGACGATGATATATGCCAGGAACTGACCCATACTGGAGTTGTTTCAGGAGGACGAACACATGGGACAGATGGAACTTTACCACTACGCCCCCGTAAGTCACCATTGCAAATTGCACCAACAAAAGTTGTGAGTAGACTTTGTGTCAGCATCAAATAATGGTTAACACTCATTGCCTCACCATCATAACCAATACAGGAACGATCATTGATTTCCTCACACCCCAAATTCTCCAGCAGAAGAAACCGTGGGTTAGTGACGAGACTACCATAATCAATGTTTCGCCTCTACCGAACAATTTGTATCACTCACCAAGTTCAGTAAGTGGCGCCAAGGCAATATATGACCAAAGAACGTCAGGAACTAACTGCTACCCACTAATTTCGACGGCGACAACCCAAGATAGATTAGATCCGTGCTGGGTAGCACCAGTCCAAAAACCGTAGAACGTAAAGACTGTGATGATCGTTTCCAACAGCAAGATCACAGACACTTCTCCAGGTCAGCACGACTTCAATGCGCAGTAATATAGGCACGTTGCATACAAATTTCGTCCACATTCGGTCTTTTGGGAATCGGCTGAAGTAGATGACTGGCATTTTTCTAGTTTCAGGCAAGAACGACACATGTATTTGATAAGGGCAACGTACCGCATTTCACTAGGAGGATATCCATGAGTGTAAAGTAACACGTATACCTAGTAGCATAGTTCAGCACTTGAATCAGGATAGCCAAGAGCATCCCCCACGAATGGACCCTCGTTTTCGTTCCACGTGTTTAGTGAACTTACATCGAGTAGAAACCAAGTGCAACACTTACTCAAAAAGTGCCGAAAGACCTATGCTTCCCAAGTCAAAGTGTATCAAAACCTGAAAAATCAACTTGCGATTGGTTACTGGTAGATATCATCTAGACTAGAGTGAAGGACCGAATCCTGAACGAGCGCTTGGCATGATTGGCCTGTTCTTAACATTCACAGCGTCGTGTTGAGGGGCGAAAAAGTTGGGCCAGTCCCGCCAATGCAGGATAATGAAGAACATAGTACGTCTAACAGCCATGCAATCCGAGAAAACAGCTTAAATAATGGGAAAGGCTGAGTCGAGTATGTGTCTGACCAAACATCATCGATACATCATCCCTAAGGCGACAAGTCAATCTCCTGATGACGCGGCGGATATAGCTCATGCTCATATGCGTGCCAGGCTGTCAGCAACTCTAAAGTTAGCCTCGATCACGCGAACGGGCGAAAGACTTTTTCTCGAGCCCTGCCCGACCCACGTTCTGTGTCGCGGGTGACTTGCCAAATATAAGTTTTCCAATTCTTGTGAGCGTACCTGTCGGTATGATATTGACTTCAATATTCGGTATGTCACAGAAGCCAAGGTGCATTTAAAAGAGATTCAAGGCGCCTGTGTGCGAAAAAAAATGCAACTTAGCATGTGGAATTGCTCCTCGCCTGAAAAAAGCAAGAAAAAAACGCGAGAGCTTGGAGCCAGACGGAGGTCAAATGCATAAACCGGCAATCATGTCGACATTCACTCTCATAAATCTTGATAGTACAATGGGGACCTACTCGACATGTGAACTCTCAAAGTGACATTTCATGCCTCGTGGTATGATACATTGCGATCGCCAACTTCTGAGGCCGAGCCTCTATATAGACTAGAACACTGATGATCGTGAGTTCCCTACACCACGGACACCAACCGAACCACTATACCATCAATCTATTCTCCCATGAGAGTGTTGAGAACTCGAGCCACCTGACCCACAGCCTCCCTTACTCTGTCTTTATCCGTCTCGATGATCTTCCGCATGACCCGTCCTTCAAACTTGTCCGGATGAAACCGTAGCATTGTCTCCCGTAGTTTCTCTTTCTTCTCCTTCTTCTCACGATCGTGAATGGGGAGAGAAACACCAACGTCCTGAGCGAGCGCAGAGATCGTAGAAATTGGTATTAGGAATGCAGATATTGCTGTCGCCGTGAAGTGTTCCAATGTGATTGAGGATGCGTCTGAATGTGCGGTATCTGAGTGCGTCATGGGCACAAATAGTGGCCATGGTATGTCTCCGAAGGAAAGTGAAGAGGCCTGCTGAGCGTTAGGATCCAAGAGATCCTTCCACTTTCTGTCGTACTCTGCTCGAGCATTCTCCCCTCGTTGGCTCTCCCTTTCTCTTTTCTTCTGGTTTCTTCGCTCTTCCGCAGCCTTTTCGAGTCTGGTCGTCTCTGCTTTCATTTCCTTCTTCCTAGCGCTACGAGCTGCCTTTTCCGCCTTTATGCGTGCTTCTTCTTCGTATTGGCGCGCGTGCTTTCGCCTATTATGGGGACACTCAATGCAACTGCAGGGAACTACTTGCAGCTGAGAGACAAACCTCCACATCCCTGCTCGAATCCACTCGGCGTACGTGTCATCATCCATGAATCGCGGATCCATGTCCGTTTGGTCCTCAGAGCCTCCACCTCTGGCTGCGTCCACCCGCCATCTATCGGGAACGTGGGCGTAATCGTTAAATCTAGCGTCTATAGCATCCAGCCGTTCATCGTCCCGTAAAGCATCCCACATTTTCTCCCTGAAGCGAGCGTCCTCCAACTCAGAAAGAATGGTGTCATAATCAGGTTTGTGCGCGGATGACAGTGATGGGGGAGGCGGAGGGCCATAGACTTCTTCATCAAGATCAGAATCAATGACTTCCCCCCTGCGTCTCCTTTTGGAGCTAGACTCTCCATGCTCGCCCGCTTCCTCCGACAGATGTGACCGCTTCCTTGCCGGCTTTGCAGCTTTTCGAGCCTTGCGGAGAGCTCGTTCGGCCTCCTCGGCGGGAGTGCGTTTAAGATGCAGCTTAGCCATTAGTTGACATTGCCTTTGCGAGACAATAGCCAATGATCCTGTCAGTCTTGGGTTATGTCCAAGGAGAATTCAGATGTGCTCAGCAATGCTGACTCAGCATGTATCGCGAATTCGACGTTTTGGTTCAAGGCTTCCATTACGACGACATGCAACCCGAATCCTTGTATGATGGTAAGCAGTTTCAGCACTTGTATATTGAACATACTAACTAGAATTCAGTGACAAGAAAATGGTTTTTCCTCATACCACCCATCTTTGGTCCGCTTCAATTTCTCATCAACGCTCCCTTCGGAAGATTTGCTCCATCCAATGACAGCATCTTCGTTGTGGATGGAATCAAGTCCTGGATTATTATGGAGTTAGTCTCTCCAATCAGCTTTATCGCCGTACTGTACCGTGGGCCCTGGGTGGCATCGTCGTCTGCGATATCTACCCCCCAGGTCATCCTTACTAGCCTGTTCATTATCCATTATCTCAACCGTGCAATAATTTCCCCTCTGCGAACACCATCTCGCTCGAAGTCGCACGTCGGTGTGCTCCTCTCCGCTGTTGTATTCAACCTTGCGAACGGTGCTCTGATGGGTACTTACCTCTCATCTCCCACTGCGTCTGCGTTTCTGGCGGAGGCCTTCTCTCGTCCATCTTTCTGGGCTGGGATAATACTCTGGGCGTGTGGCTTCGCGGGAAATATTTTGCATGATGAAGTACTTCTCGATATCCGCCGTAAATCTAAGGCGAAGGGCAAACGCAACGAGAACACACTCGGAAAGGAGCACTATGCCATCCCTCATGGCTACCTCTACCGATATATCTCTTACCCAAACTACTTTTGCGAGTGGTCAGAATGGTTTGGCTATGCATTAGCCGCTGCACCATTGCCTGCTCTCATGCCGCTCACAGAGACAATGAGAACCGTCCAGCCCCCTTGGTTGTTCCTCTGGGCAGAAGTTTTGCTGATGATATCTCGGGCATACAGGGGCCATCAATGGTACCACAGGAATTTTCCCGAGTACCCCAAGGAGAGGAAAGCTGTCGTACCGTTCATATTTTAGGCTGCCGGATGTAGCATAGGGGCTCCAACTTCTAAAAAGGACACTAATGTTCCAAGTTCTTAATTCACGGTCAGCTTGTCTCGCTACCAACTTTCTGTGATGCTACAATGAGTGTACGATCCATCATTTAATCGTTTCAATCATGGAATCGAAAAATAACACAGACTGAATGAAATAAATATTATGAAGTGGATACTAATACCTGATATAGAATTCGTTCGCCGCTTGAAATGCCTTCTGCGGCAAGTTCGACATTGTCGCTTGCACCGACAAACCAACACAAAATTCATACATAGCCATTAATCTTCTCGGTCCTCGGTTTTATCTTCGTCGCGATTCCTGTTAAAATGATGTCTTCGGATGAGCCTGGTACAACCCCTTTTCACTCCGTGCAAGCATCGTTCTCGAAGTTCCAGCGCCAATATCAACAAACACTTGACCGATGGACTCCTCACGTTTTTCAACGGTGGTTGTCGACTCTCTTTCTACTGGCGCTCTTCATGCTTAGGATTGTGTTGTCCCAGGGGGTAAATACCAACTTATTCCAAGCTTACTGAGGATGAAACTGACCAGCTACGTGTTAACAGTGGTACATTGGTCTGTGTATTTACTTTGCGTGTATAATCTCTTGCTCACCAGTTATGCCTGTGGTACTTGGATTGCATGTGTAGTCTGCTGTGCGTCTACTCGTCCTTTTGGCTTGGGGTGTACCTGACGGAGCTTCATAACAGACGGCTTGGCCATTTACCTTTTGAACTTGCTTCTTGCATTCCTGCAGCCCAAGTTCGACCCTTCACTTGAGGATGATCTTCTTGCCGACGAGATTGAGGAGGGCGGTGACCAAAGTGTGCCTGTACTTCCTTCTCAGCGGGATGATGAGTTTAGGCCTTTTGTAAGAAGACTCCCTGAATGGCAATTTTGGTGCGACCAATGGCTGTGTTGTTCCCCTTATTGTCGCTGACCATTTGAGATTTCCACAGGTTAAGTGCAACAAGGGCCACTCTCATATCACTCTTCTGTACCGTGTCAGAGGTCTTTGATGTGCCCGTCTACTGGCCGATCCTCGTGGTCTACTTTTGTGTTCTCTTCGCATTGACAATGCGTCGGCAAATTCAGTGCGTTCCCATATCCTAGACTTGTGGTCGTAATTGAAATTTTTTTGCAAGGCACATGATCAAGTACAAGTACATTCCGTTCGACATCGGGCGCAAGGCACGTTACGGCGGGAGCAAGTAGAAACTATTTACTGCTTCATGTCATGCGGATCATTCTCTTCGCCTATAGATTTTACATCGTAATGCAGGACTATGTTTATTGCTGTACCATTTCCATGACTTTTGATGTCCGCAAAGTTCGCTAAGACGTCGCTAGGATACGGTATGGATTTACAGCGCTGATAATCTCACTGCTTGGTATTCCTGGCACTGTTACTTGGTAGTTGGAATATATAACTGGTGAGCTATGTAGTTGATGACCGAGTGAAATTTGTTTTAGAGTGCAAGCAATGTACGCGGCTGAACTGATTCCCACGGTTGTGACAAGGACTTGAATGTGAGCGTTGTCACTGTGTGAACGTCTGTAGTCCATGAGAGGTTTGATCGATGATCTTTCAGAATAGATAATGATATACTATCATACTATTCCTAGCGTGTCCATGTGACTGGTCTCATGTCTGAGCGCTTTTGCGGTCCACCGCATTCTGCAAGGCTGCAACCGCTACGTTTACTCGCGCAGCGCTATCACCCTACGCGTCGCCGAGCATTGCACATCATGAGCGAAGAAACTAATCCACCTGCCATGCAGCACATGGCCCAACACGTTCTCAACCAATTGGAAGAACATCGATCACGATGTCCATCGAGTTTAAGACCGACCCCCCTATTTGTTGGAGTTCAAGGTCCACAGGGCAGCGGAAAGACTTTCCTAACTTCCCGCCTCCGTGCCCACCTCTCCAGTCCACCACACGCCCTCACCGTTACCGTGCTTTCTATTGACGACCTCTATCTTCCGCACTCTGGGCTCCAAAGTCTTGCGGAAAGCCATCCCCACAATATCCTCTTTCAGGGAAGGGGACAGCCAGGAACACATGATGTGCCTCTTGGTACTTCGGTTCTCAAGAACCTCAAAAAGATCAACGAAGTTGATGCAGGGACTGTTGACATCCCTTTCTTCGATAAGAGCCTATTTAATGGAAAGGGAGACCGCGTATCTCATGGTGAGACGGTGAAAGGCCCCGTGGACATAGTTGTGCTGGAGGGATGGTGTGTGGGATTTTTCCCTTCAAGTAAAAAGCTCGTCGAAGAAAGATGGAAAGACCCTGTTCCGACTCTCGAGCCTGATATCTTTGACATGAAATCCTTCGTGTCCGTGGATCACGTACTGGCAGTCAATGAGCGATTAAAGCAATACGTGGAGTGGTGGAATGCACTCGATGCTTTCATACAGGTAGATACCTCGCTCTCGACGCACCCTTGGCATGCGACTCACTCTTTGAAGATAAAGGGGCCTTCGTCGGCACAGCTGTCTATCATATATAAATGGAGATTACAACAGGAACACAATATGAAAGCTAAGAATGGCGGAAAGGGCATGACCGATGATCAAGTTAAGACGTCAGTGCTTCTTTTCCTCTCGTATATTGTTGATAACATTATGAGCAGCTTCGTAGACCGCTATATTCCCGGATACGTCTTTTTTGGTGACGGAGTGACGAAAGGATTATCAGGCGGTGAAGGAACGGAGACAGGGCAACTGCCGTCATGGATAGGCAAGGGACTATCAGTTACGATTGGTGATGATAGAGAGTTTCTGCATGCAAGTAATTTTTAGAAATAACGCTAGAGCGCCTGAACCTTACAGAGGACTGCGCATGGACTGCGCTTCGACTCTATCTCATCTGCAAGGCTGAGTGTACTATCTCCTTCAGGTATAGTGAGCTAGGACTCTTGATTTTGGGAGCATGTGTCTGACCCCTAAGTAACATCAGAAGGTGCGACGCCTCTTCTAGAAGCCAATCGCTAGTCTAATTGTCACAGATGAAGTCCAGTCTAGTTCCTGGTTGCTTTCGTCCGCACACTACTTGTATACCTGTACCATGTCTGCTTACGGGGTCATCAACAGACCGCAAAGGACATCGTATTTGCCCACTACGTTATGGAATAGTCTTCGGGTAGAGTCAGATCTCGGGACCCCATCTTTCGTGACCATACATCACATCGATCGAGCCGCAGTGGAGCGCATCCAAACCGGTCTATTCAACTACCTCCACTGCATTTTTGCGAATGAAGTGGACAAAGGCTTAACTTATCCGCAAGAAGACATTAGTGATTCCGCAGCCTTCGGAGCATACTTCTTCGGCGGAGACGTACTCGTCGCAATCGCTGGCAAAGGAGATCCGCCCGCGATTAAGAGCGAGGAGCGCGGGGTACGGGAGATCGAGCAAAGTCTAGACGCTGCGAGAAACGGGCGGACATGGGAGGAGTGCGTCGCAGGGTTTTACTACGTCAGTCGCGATCCTAGCCCTATCGTGCCACTCTAATCTCACATACTGTGGAATGAATGATATAGGTAAAACCCAACTACCCTGGGCGATCTTCCCATGTAAGTGTGCTTCAGTTGGGCAAGGGATTCACCGGCTCCAAAGGCTGTGGCTTTCATGTGATTCGAGACGAACCAGGCTCGTCTGACATATGATTTCCACATAGATCTGTAATGCAGGATTTATGGTACCCCCTTCCCAACGTGGCAGTGGTTATGGGCATATTCTTGCTAAATCGTATCTGTACTATGCACCAGCGTTGGGATACAAAGCCAGCGTGTTTAACCTAGTGTATGATAATAACACTGCCAGTGTTAAGTGAGCTTTGACGATCTTCGTTGGCTTCTGTGCTTTGCTGATCACTTCGATTACAGGTTGTGGGAGGCACTAAACTTTACGAAAGCTGGACTTATACCCAAGGCTGGTCGTCTGAGGCGGAAGGACGGAGAGGGCGAGGAATATGTCGATGCAATCATCTTCTATAAGAGTTTCGAAGAAACAGGACCGGACGCAGACGATCAGTGAATAGATAACAGTCCTACGACAGATATGTAGTCACGAACCAAAGTCTAAATGACATCCACAGAGCTCCAATAGATTGATGCACAGAAGCTTGCACGCATGAGGACACCTGAAACGATGATCAAGGCACCGCGACAACCATAATCCCAGTTCCAGCCGATCGAGGTATATAGGGAACTTACGCCTGGATGATGAAACACAGCATATAACAAGTATATGACTTACGAGTACCGTTTGCGCTCTCTAAGCTTGCCAAGTCGAGTACTAGCGTGATCATGAGCGCCTATCACATCTCGAAGGTTCTTCGTGGAACGTGGCACCGACAGACAGGCGTTAATGATTATCGATCCCTGATAAGAAGCTCCAAAAGCCGAGAGAGCCTCTGACGAACTGTGGGGAAGGCGCGATATCATTACAGGTGTCAGCTGGTGTCAGTGTGTCAGAGATGACATCAAAGGAGGGGCCGCCGAGCCTGCGTGACGCATATGCGCCCCTGCCAATCATTATGAAGATAATTTGTGGTACTGGTGATTTGAGTGGGAGTTTCCTAACGCGATGCAAACGTGTGATAATAGAGGGTGCAGGATTGGAAGGGTAGATGGATCTGATAATTTTAAAAGAGGGATGTCTAGTCTAGGGTTATCCGGTGCTAAAGGTCCGATATCGATGCTGTCTCGACCACTGGAACTTCTGTATTCGTGAGATAGGAGACATGTGTGTTATCCAACGGCGTACTGGACTTGCAAGTTGGAATGAAAGATAGTGCATAGAACTCGGCCAAAAAGCCTCTGTTCTCACCAGCAGCGACCCGTGTGTGTATGAAAGTGAAGAGCAAGAACATGTCAGAGAATATCGAATGGACCCTGCAAGTGGAACAAAAAACACACAGAAAGTTTTAAATACGGCCGAAACCTGTACACACCTATGTTCGTTCACAGAACATCATGGAGCAATTTCCCCACACTCCATCAATGCAGCATTTCACCAGGTGCCAGAAAACGAGACTTGAGGGTCGAAAATAGTGCCCGTCAGTCAGCGGCTTGAAAACACGATTCTGTGAACATTGATGTGTTGGGCGTATCACTCTCGGGACACACGGCAGTGCAGTGCATAATCATCAATTTCATGGCAGATGGTTGGTATACCTTCCGCAATGAGTGAGATTACAGTGTCTTTGGCCAGTACATTATGCCAACATGTAGCAGTGCGCGATATCGATACATCAATTTTCTGGCAGATGGCTAGTAACACCGTCCACAGCGCGATTCGACCAGCGCGATACGTTCCAGTGGGCTATTGTCAAGCTCCGGAGAGCACAGCACTCCGGTGCGCACAGAATCCTGAATCCTGATTGGTATGCGAGTCACGGCACGGCGAGCAACTTCAAATAGGTGATACTTCGATCTAGCGCCATCATGTTCGGCTTAAAATGTGAAAATATGCAAAAACAAAAGGAAGGCCGCGGAGAAGTGGTAAGATGCTCACATTCCAGCTGACCGCAACTGAACGCTCCTAATAGCAAATGCATCGACTATCTTGATTGTTAAGGTGGCTGCAGTTTAGGGAACTACTAAGACGACGACCAAAACGGTCTGTGCGTTGCAACATTCTAGGCAAACCAATGAACGCCGTGTCGTACTCTGTGCACCGAGACCTCATGTCTGTTAGGCATGAGACTGTAACAGGTGCAGAAGATCGCATAGCATAGCTATAGGACGGGATACTCGTGTAATGTGCCCCTTCGACAGCACTATGATCTATAAGCCCAAAACTTAACTTTACCATTTGACAAGTGACTCTGGTAATAATGAACTCACATTGTCGGCATGCACGCCACCCTGTGGAGAAGGCCGCACCAAGGGTTACCAAATCAGCAAGACATAACGACATGAGGCCACAGCATGTTCTGGCCCCTGGTCTTTGAGGACCAAGATTACAATTAAAATCCGCTCGATTGTTCTTTCTTTTGTGTCAAGATTAGCCTTGCGATCTGCAAGATCCCGCCAAGTCAAAGGGCGGCCACATCAACTTGGACTGGACATAGTATGAATGGGTGCGCCTGCCATGACTTGCGGTTATGGAGGCACAGGCTCAGATCTTCGAGTCAGAGCTCATCACAAGCCAAATATACGTTTGTAAGCCGTAAGCAGCTACCTTCTGCCACTTATCTCGGCTAGACAAGAAGCAAGAATGAACTTCTTATGGTCCGATTAACAGAGCTGCATGTGTCAATGCCCATGTCAGCGTCCATCTCGCATGGATAATTTGATGGGGCACACACGCAGTACCCTGTTGACAATTGTGAGATAAGCAATGTCACGATCGCTGGGCAGTTGTTCCTAAGTCGCTGTATATAAGTACTTCAAGTGCTGTTAGGATACGCCACTTTAAAAATTGCAATGTCTCGGCGTAATGGAGGTAGATCACTCACCACGATATCCAAGATCCAGTGAAAATTCTAGACCGCAGCAACGCAGCTAAAAATTTAGCAAGGCCTTGCAGCCGGAGATAGCACCCTAAGCCAGTGATGAGTTGCTTACCATAAAGGGCGGCGGCGTGCGGGAGAACGAGAAGGTACCAACGCCATCCCCAAAAAAAACGTGTACAGCCCCTGGGCATATGAAGGTTTTTCCATCGGAAAGGTCTGATGGAACTTTGCATTTCTGGCGCTCGGATAAGGCAGTCGGTTTGTACAGCCAAACGCGGATTAGTGACGAGAATGTGGCGCTTTGAATTCAAAGGCTCTTTGTGCCACGCTTATAGTTAACGTCGAACAAGGGACGGCATGGAGTAGAAGCATGCAGATCACTGGTGCTTGTCGAGCTGTAGCGTCCTGAACTGGAGTCGGCTCCGGCGGACTTTTTGTAAACGTTGTCTTTCGTACTATGGCTGCTGGCAGTAACGAAAGTGATCATATCAGAAGTCAGCTGGCGCTGTCGTACGACTTGGTGTGTGAAGGTCTGAAGCAATTATCTGTGCGTGGAAGCGATCTGCCGGTTGTCGCACGTGCCTCGAGGCAGGGCATCAAATGCTCCCAATTCTCATCAATTAATGTCTCGCATTCATTCTGATATTGCAGAGTGATTGTGGCATTTTTGATTCTTTAGTATAGTTGTACATATGCCAATTGAAATACTGTAATGCGCTATTGACACAACATATGATGATAATGCAGTAGGTGAAGCACGGTCCCAGAGCAGCCTTGGGCCAAGTAATGATGCTGCAGGGTATAGATAGTCCTGGTAAATAAAACACCGCGAGCGATCGATGCTGACCGACGGCGATGAAAGAGTATATGTTAGCGGCGTCATCAAGACGAGCAAAAATGAGTGTGTAGTGGCAGTAAGAAATGCAACAAAGACCACGATGCACTCAATGAGCTCCCTTCACCAGACGGCCGGCGAAGCGAACGCAAACATCTTGTGCTTTGATGGAGGTGGAATCGGAACAGGCTCGTGTTTTGGGATACCTGGAGATGACGAAGCTGATACGATACGAGCGGTACAGTCCTCCATACCCGGGGGTGTTGGGGGCGATGCCGTCGACGCTGGAGACGTCGATGTTGAATAACATGGTGACGGCGTGTCCGGTGTTGTGGGCGAAGTAATGTAGGTTGAATTTGATTGGGGAAAAGCGGGCTTCGGAGGCGATGGATAACGGTGGCCATATGAAGGCGTGGGCGCCAGAGCAGCTGGAGGAGGCGGGAAGGGATTCGTGGTAGGAGGAGGGGTGGTCTTCGAGGATGAAGGAAGAATATAAGTCGGGTAGGGTCCTTGACCAACAAAATCCTTCTTAACCATGTCCTCAAACTCCCTCAGCGTTACCGGATCCACATTAAGCTCCCACTCCAGATACTGACACATCTCGCGCTCCATCTGGTTGATTTCCCGCAACTGAAACATGCCCTGCGCTACAATACTCCAGGATTTGTTGGAGTAAGTGTCGTCACAGATAACCTTTGATGCGAGCATGAAAGCGGAGACGAACAGACGGTGACCCGAAGAACCCCGAGCGGTGGGAAAGCGCGCCTTCAGTCGCTGGAGCAAGACAAGAGCAGCGAAGGTTACGGAGGAATGAAGTTTGGTACGATGAAGAGCATACGCGATGAAATGAGGGAGCTTTACTTGGGAGTTAGAAGAGGAAGGTGGGTACTCTGGACAAGCAAAGAGATGGGTGATGAACCGAGCACACAAACGGGAAACCTGCTCGTGACCATAAAAAGGGTCAGAGTGTCTTGTCGTAGGCTGAGTAGACTGAGGCTTAGGTGGTGCCTATGTATGTATGGTTAAGGATACGAATATAGCGAACGGCTACTAAAAACTGACCGAGGGAGCGGGATGATAACCCATTCGAGAATGGGGAACGCTCTGGGCATTCCGAAATGGGGAAGGATGGGTGGGTACTATAGGACCATGTACAGCAGCCATAATGATGGGTGATGGTGAGTGGAACGGACGGTACGGTGTCGCGAAGGTGATCTAAAAGTGCAAGTGTCAGATGTTTGGGAGTTTAGTTAGAACGGATAGAAAGAATGACGGGGTATATAAGAATTAGGGCAGTGTGAAAGCAAAGAAGGAAAATGAATGGAACCAAAGCCATGAGCCTGGGATACGAAGATTACAACGGCAAGCTCATAGACTCCGTTGCAACGAGGCAAAAAATATTTATATATTTAAAATAATTTTAAAATGTAAAATTTTACTCACCCAGGAACAATGGAGAGTCTGCGTGCTCAATCTTTATGTTTCGCTAATTCGCCTCGAGGAGCAATAGAAGCTCTATTTACGATCTGAGAGGTTGCCGCCTTATGAAAGCTGCGTAAAAGCGACGAGACGAGAGTATAGCTAGCGGGGTTGGAGGAGGTGTGGAAATTCCAAGCCATTCCATCCGGGCCCGTATATATATGCAGAACTGTGTCATATTGTTGTGGGCGCTTTTAACAAATGATCTGATGACACCCGATGGTCCACAGCGGCCCCAAGTTGGAAGCAATAGCTTTTTGGAGATTGGTTCACCCTACCACCCTTGTGAACTGGTTTGCCGAGCCCTTCTAGGCCATGTGGCGATGCTTCCTGCCCTCGTTTGTTCCGACATCACAGCACAATAGTACAAAGTTCCAGTTCCTCCTAGACTCTCATTTTGCGACATACGCGGCTCGACGCTCACTGAAATGACATGAGGTACCATACCACACGGCTTTCGGGATGTCCGAACAGCCTCAATAAAATTTCGCTGTCCTTCCGGTTAATTCACAGTCCTCATCCCGACCTGCTTATCAAGAAACGTTGACAATGCAGCTCTGCTTTCTCATGTACATGATCCGGCTGAGAGAAGCGCACCATACCGTCTTGCATCTGTCCAGAGGCGACAGCTTTGCCCCCTAACGGACTCTTGATCCGCGGAAGGCAATCACCATGCCTCTTCACGAATACTTACTCGTCCTCAATTCGTAGCAGCCTTTTCGATACCTTCCTTCCGAACCTATACACATGTTGTGAGTACGTAACTCGATATAGATACCTTTGCAACTCACATGGTAAACGACTCAATCGCTGCCACAGATTTCACGTCAACGATCCCGCGTAGTTATCTTCGAGCACACCCCACGGGTGTGCAGTTTTAAAGTCCTATACACTAGATAGACGGCTCGTGTTGATTCACTTACCCCATGGCGATATACATAGCGCTCCGTGTGAGCATCACGCCATCCCCTCACATGTTCCTTCGGTCCTAGCGGTGATAAAAAAGCTACTGCAGTGCAACTCTCGGGTGTTGCATAACGCTAAGAACTGAGATTACCTCCAACCGTCGGCGTCATGTGATGCGTATTGCGCCATCAGGCTCATCATCATCCCTAAACAGCCCTAAAGACACACGTCAAATCCCGATATCACGGAGCGACCATCCTGGAACTGGGTTATGCCACCTTGATTGCAGTGTCTGCCATTCCAATTCAATGATCGTGTCACAGTTGCTCTGTGCCTTAGCTGAGCCCTATCTGTGCCACAGCACCACCACTGGCCCTCAGGAATATGGCCTGGAAGTCGGTATGAATCACAAATGGGAGACAATGTGACTCTGCGCACATGGGAATTCCGCCTGCTCGAGCATAAATGGATGATCATTTCTCCATCATGACGTAGCCTAATAGGCTACTACCCACCACAATATTCGCAGAGTCATATGATGGACGGTCTTGGACGGTCCGGGATAAGATAAAAAGAACTGCAACGTTTTTGGGAGTTGAACGAATCGATGACATCTCGGGCACCCGTCCAATTTCTGCTTAAGGAGGTATGCGACCTATTATTCAACGCACGCGAATTGCTTATCAAGTCGAAATTGGACAGACCTGAGAAAATGTAATCTGGAAATACCATTCTCAGCGTGTTCTTATGAGGCCGCTACTAGCTATGGTGCCTACATATCCTCATATTGTATACACGAGCATGGTGATCTACAGACTCAACCTGCATAGGCTTCTATATCTCCACTGTGCTTGATGGGAGCTCGTGATTGATATGTGATAATCATAACTGGAGTATAGGAGGCCGTTTACCTTGAGGCTCAGCATCGAGCAGGATGGTGCATGTTTAATTGAGGTGGAGTATTTTCTTGTTCCGCAGTTGCTGTTCATCCTTGCTCCTCTTTCTCGACCGATATCTGCGATCCAGACCTGCGAGTGGAGATTATTGCGGCAGCCTGGTGCCTCGAGCGGGCCTGGACACTCCACGCATATTTCATTCTAATTTCTGAGTATATTTCCCCCAGTCGCCCCACAAAAGGTGGCTGCCGATAGACATGTTGCTTGCCCCCGCACTAGCTTCGACTCCTCCATCCCTGACCCAGAAATTGGATTCGTTAATACAATGAGGCGTGCAGATTCGGTATGGGTTTGACTCCCGAGTACTAGTACGAGTTGGTTTACACTAACATTTGATGCAGGTTATCTCCTATCTCCGTTCTGCTGTCAGTACTCTCACAAGAACGCAAGTGCGCTACTCGTGTTATTTTCTTCGTTCTCAACTCAAAAATTTTTGACGTAAGATGTCATTATCAGCGCCGCGGTATTGGTAGGTCGGGCACGCTCAAGATTGACCGTGTGTGCCTTGCTATTCATTCAGGACACCCACGATGTTGTTCTGGAAACCCATCATGATCATGATCGATATCTATTATTCAGGCTTCAAGTGCGTTATCATCTGACCCCTACTCGACCCTGTAATAACTTTCTGCAGTGACAGCTACTGAGCCACAAGTGATGATTGTAGTATACAGTGTACGAGTTCATGACCAAACTAGCGATCACCGGAGTACGTTTTGTGGGCCCAACAGTCTTGGAATTATATGTTGTGAGGTCCTGTGTATGTAAGTTCAAACATATTGTCGCCCAACGTTCTGATGTTCTACTAATATGAGATTGCGAACCGGCCCCCACCCTGGAATACCATCAATTATGACCGCTCGCGAACAGTGGCGAACCGCCGAACTGATCCCTATGGTAGCGCTCAAAATTGAACTCTTTAACACGAGTACTCATCCTGACTGGCGCCCAAATACAATCTATCCTTAAATCCCTTGACTCAACGTGAGTGCATAGACATCATCTGAAGGCTTCCTGTGTCAGTTTCAACTTGATAGATCTGATGGGTATAGAACTTGCCAAGCAACACGTACAGGAATGTCTCCAAGTAAGCGTTTTGAAGGATTAGCATATACTGCAATCGTTTGTCGTCCCTGGCGCCTCCGATTAATTGTGGCGCATGTAGTAAATTATATTCATCAGAAGTTCGAGTTCATACCGTTTTGGGGTGAGTTGGTAGGCGCTTTGATCCCCAGTGACAGATCTTTTATCTCACTTGCCCCCTTGTCCAACTGAACGCGCGCGTACTTGTAACCCGAGCTTGCCATTGATGATGCGCCCGTTGTAAGATGGCCCGTTCACGTGTCGTTCTCGTGCGCTAGCCGGGATCTTAGACTTCTCACCGCTGTATGTCTAAAACGGCGCTGATAAGGTTTCGCCGTTCCTGTGAGTCACTTGGATTACTAGTGGGAGATTGCTGGGCGGCTTTGTCGTCTTTTGTTCATCGTTCCGGACCGTTATGAATTGTAATTGAATTCAAGGGTTCAGTGTGGGGATTGAGTGGGAGTGACGGGGAATCGGATCGATTACGAGGTGATGCTGACTCAGAACGCTCATCAACTGGAGAACGCGTCGGATTGCGGGGGCGATACGGTCACAAAACGTGAACAGCAACGGAACCGACTACATGCTCCAAGTACAAAGCCCAACGAGAACTGACGACGCACTCCATTTCAAAACGAAATTTACCCTCTATTTTGGACCACCGTGCCTCCTGGTTCATATCACGAGTGATACGAAGCACAGAGCTCACGAGATTCGCAACGTGCAGTTCTGCCTATTTTGATGGCTGAAACTAGCCTCAACGACACGGCAGTGAGTACTGTATCACCATCATTACATTGATTCCGTTGTTGACGGCTTTAACACTTCTTCAGAAATTGTTCGACTAGTATGGATTGCAAACCAAGCATCGATGTACTATGTTCAAGCCTCGTGTAACAACTCAAACAGACATGCCACAACAATCCTCGTAGCCCTGTTTTTCGAGTTGTTTCATACAACCCTAGTAGCTGCTGCATCGGCGTCCATCTTCTCGGTCCAACATTCCGCTAGCCTTAAACGCACCTTGGACGCCGTGAATGTCGCAATTTCTAACCATTTCATTAAAACACCCTTCAATTTGTTTCGGAATGCCGCCCGACTTGGTGACACGCGCCACACAAGTACGGATCCAAAACCAACTTGTGGTTCCCTCAGGAACGTAGTAAACGCGCCCACACTACCACCATGATAGCCTATCGAACTATCAAGTGCAGCATTTGGTGGCCACTTTATAGGAGTCAAATTTTCTGATCGAAAAGCAAGTTCGGCGAATAGAGTACAAGCCTCTGATGCTGGCCGCAAGATCTTTGCTAGTCACTGGCGGAAAGCACGTCATCAATCAAGATTCAACCATGGATGCTTGTAAAAGTCTCCCATGATAATTTTCTCAAAGGTTTATTTTATGCTTATTCCCTCCAAAGCCAGTGCTGACGTCAACTACAAGCAGTGCATTATCTTGTGAATCGGAATATGCTTACTTCGCCTTCTTAACGAGTCACCTCCGCTTCCATTCACAAGGGTTGCCGTCATCTGCTGAAAGTGCTAATTAGTAATAGGCGCATTCCGTGGTGGCAGAAGAATAGTTTCAAACTTATCCTTGATCATGGCATCGGCGTCGACATCTTATCCTGCTCGAAATACAGCTGTGGGCGATTCTCCATGAACTGGCTTAGCTGTTCCGAACTCGTTGGTTGATTGCCTCTCGTTCTACAAAGATTACGGGGTGGTAGTGAAGAGAATTTGGTTCCTGCTATCCATAAGATGTATCAAAGCTAGCAAACCCTTCAATGTTACCCACGTGCCTAAGATAGCGTTAGAGCAAGTTGTGGCTTGCCTGCTTGCATGAACACGACTTCAAGGATCCCAATCATAGCCTCGGTGAAAGTTTGATGTATTTTAAGTACACCAGAAACCGAACTGCATCAAGTACCACTTACTGAATTCCCCTTGCAAACAACTGGGAATCACGAGGTGTCGCGAAACGAGATGTTAGCTAACGTTACAAAGTCGACCACGTTCTAGGGTACGAGGGTTGGCGGCTCCGAAGATCCCATGATGCCACCTTCTTTTGATCGGCCGAATGAAAACCAGCATCTGATCCGTCATACTCATGCGAGCTCGCTAGCCGAAAGAGGGATGTTGATAAAGCAATTTACCCTTGAAAAACCAGATTTGCTACGTACCTCAACTTTCAGTTGATCACGAGGCTTTGAGCCGAGGAGTGTCTCATGATAACGCTCTTGCGAGCCTTCGTGCCAGGTTCAGGCCGCCGAAGTAACACAACCTGCATGGGATTGAACAAGCTAGCTGTATCTTGCATTCAAGTCCTAATCGGATGTCTGCACATTATCCGCGGATCGACATCATCCAATGGCAAACCGGGGCGCGCCACGAAGGTGGCATGAACCTTGATGATCAGATTAGTAGAGCAGTCACGACTTCTTCACAGAGCTACCTCGATCAGAACGGTTAAAACTTCTTCGCAGGGCTACAGGCTAGACTGATCGTATCTGATCGTGCAGAGCTTCGGCGAAATCGACTTTCGAGGCTGGAGACAGTATGCGCAAACACGTGGTGGTCTTGTGAGCGGGTGTATTTACGCGAAGTACGTCGGTCGCCAAACGTTAGCGCTTTAGCCGTGTTTTTCATCAGCCCCAACACAAGCTTCATTCGCGCTTATTCGATCATTGCCCGTTTCCCCCCGTGTCCCAGCCACCTTCTCCCGAATTTCAGGTCTATCTCGTGGATAACTTCGGAAAGTCGGATAGTCTGCCGAATCTATGCTGCTGATTCACGTACGCTTAGACTGAAACTTCAACACGGAATCACGGAAAAAGACTGGAAGCGTGGGCCGAGCCTCCCCGAGCCTTGTGAGTTTAGGTATTTCATAAGCACCACAGATGACGATCTCCCTTCCGCAATGCCGCAGCGTCTTTCCTAAAGATGGTTCGTCTAGACCGGCGCAAGAGGCAATGCTACACCATTCTCCATTCTCGGCGTAGCATACTCAGGACCAGCGTTTTCCGTCTAATGGGTTTGCAGAGCCTTCCATCCACGGTGCGGAGTCACTGCGGACCGAATTCCAATACATCGGTGGAAGATCCAATGGGCAAAAATTTGTCGTTTGTAATTGGTCCCTGCCACATGAGTTTTTGCGGCGCAACTTCGGGAATATGGTTCGCAATCGCTACAGCCATGTGTGACAGCACAATGCTCGCACTTTCATAAAGTACTGATCTTGCACTGCGGATGATAGATATACCAGGTATCCTTTCATTTAGGCATATCATGCGCTAACACTTTCTTAGCGGTTTGACACGTTGGTTCGAAGAGTATTCTAAAAACGTGAGTACTGCCAATCTGAATCGTGGTCGACTCGTGTCCCTTTTGAATCTCTACTTGCGTCGAACTTGCTGAAATTCTTAGTGACTACGCGAGAATGAGGCAAGAGGACACCCTTGATAACGATGGCGGTAACGAAACCCTGAACTGAAGGCAACGTAATGAACTGGATACATGCCCGACATCATCAATGTCAAACAGATGCTTGTTTCATGTTCCACGATGGTGCAAAGGTAAGTGTACCCTCGTGAACATGCTGCGGGTACAGCTTTGCTGATGTTCTCATACTCGCTTAATGTATCATCGTAGTGAGGACGGTATTCAATGCTATGTGTTAATCTCTACGGCAGGCGTGGTCTCTGATGCGCCCACCAGACCTTAATTTTGTCCGTTTGCGCCTCGGGCACGCCATGGATTATTCAGGAGTTTAATAAGGGTTCACGGACTCTGAGCGTGTTACAAAGACAGGATCTCCGTGAAGGTATTTCATACACTGCCTCTTCATGTCTGAGATGACACATCATTGATTATCTGAGGTGACCCTGTACGGCGAACATCTCCGACAACACGACGTGGATTTTACGTGGGGGAGCATCTTATTTTGTATGGAAGGGATAAATCGTTGCTTTGTTGTGCCTAGGCGTGAACCCTCGCCTGTTGTGGCATCCGCAGTATCAAGTACTCCAACTACGCCAGCGGCGGGAGAGACACTCCAGCTTTCAGCAAGCACACGGTTAGTCTCCGACCGCCGTTTATATCAGGGGCAGGCATTGCGACTGCCTTGGTCGTCGTTTTCCTATTCTAGCCTTCCACATCACCCACTAAATCACATTTTTACCTACGATTTGTGGCTGTCGATCTGCTTACGATCTGCGGCCGCCGCCAAAGTCGACGAACACAGCCCCGGTGAGCTGCACTCATGCCAATACTCTTATGGAGAAATTGCAGACACGGTGCGCGGGAATCAGACCGGGGCCTTACTTGTTGATGTCATTTTCTCTCCCTATGAACTCATGGGCAGTGGAAACACGAAAAATATGACACGATGACAGCAGGGGAGGCCAGCCTTGTTGTATATGCCTCTGGCTAGCCTCCTTTTAGAAGATGGCGTAGCCGCAGAAGGAAGGTGTAGCAGTACGATCGGGCTCATTTCCAGATGGACTGGACTGGGTCGGTTCATTTACCTTGCATGCTCACGAAAACGTTCTCTGTTGATACCGAAGGAGTCTCCGCTGGGTTTATTCTTTTCCCCGCATGCTACGACCGGTGCCGGTACTCCGATGGTGAGCTCCTTCCGTCTGTCCTACTTCAAGTTGCCCTAAATATTGACATGTTTATTGCTAGACCCGACGTAGACGGGGATCGCATTGACAGCTGTCTAAACCACATTAGTCCAGTGGCCCTCAGTCGCGTGTTCCAACTGCGATCAGCGCTGCACACCATTTCAATAAAGGGAACGCGCCCGACAGGCTTATTGACGTCCGTGCGTGAAGGGTTTCCTTAAGTCGAGGGAGAAAATGTTTTCCTGGCGCTCGAGTGCGTTACTCTCTGACTGCACCGTCCAGTCTTTGATTTTGGAGTCGCATCCGCGTTACCTAAACACCATCGGTAGCTAGAAGCTGCGGACTTCCCATTCCTCTGTTCCACGAGTGCTGCTACGTGACGTAGGATCTGCCTCGCGCACTGATTTTCGTGAATATTGTACGACAAGCAGTGAGCAAGGCAAGTCCTACGATCCGGATACCGCCAAAGAATCCCCTCGCAAAGTCAGCAGCAAAGAAGTAACGACGAACTCGATGCATGCACCCCAACGCCGAATGAAGTAGGTGACAATATCGAGATGTAATACAGATACTCAAGCTAAACGGTCAAGCCCTCCACTGAGACTCACGAATCAGTGTCAAACTTGTATAGCACCGTGCTCGACTTAATGGGCTGTCATCACCTCGAACCTTGATCGGGATTCAGAGTTCGTGTACGACTACTTTCATAAGTATTGCCGAGATGCCTAATTAGAAGATACTCAAAACTGAAACGATCCCTGACGGTGTTTCTAGATCTCGTTGAAGGTCCTAGCACAAATATCCATCAATGGACAAAGTAGACCTTCCACAGAGACAGTGACCTGTAAGGCTTCGCTTTGAGATTCATGTAGTGGCAGTAGCGGAACAGATAAAGACATCTACTATGCCTTAGAGGTCACCTCAGGTCTCAGGGATGGAGGTCATGTCAATCTAAGCGACGCATTATGAATACCCAATACGCCCGGAACGCATCGGGTCCGCGTGCGCTTGGAAGCACTAAGAAAGCCCATCTACTGAAGCAAGTGAGCCACGTAGGATTACTTGAGTAATTAATTTTCATGATTCAAAGTTTGTTCATGTTTTGAGATCGGGCAGTTGGCCCAATCAAGACGTCTTAGTCATGTTTGAGACGGGAGTTTGTTGGAGTCGCCGCCTTCGTCGCTGTCGCACTCATTCCATTATGCCTTTCGGTCTTATCATCGGAACTGAACGCGCATCTGCTCTACAAGTATGTCTTGGTCATATACTACTCTTCTTCTTTGCCCAGCTCATTTTTTTTTTGTGCAGAAATCCATTCAGGATGAACTCACAGCTCGTAGTTTTAGTCCCGATGCTGGTGAGCGCTCAGTCTTATTCACTGGTAGGTCTTCGACGCTCACTGCTGGAACAGATCCTGTCATGGCGGAATATATCACCATTATGATTATAAACAATAAAACTGCAGGTATGTGGGATCAAGAGCTTCTTTGCTAACACTGGCTTATCGCGTTACACAGCACAAATAACTTCGGAACTCATGGATTGTGAGTGGCGTTTTGCGTTCCAAATTTCTTTACTAACTACGCTTCCAGTAATTGGCTCAGACTTTGGTATGCTTCTTAGTGCTTTGTGCATTGCGGTTTTTTTTTGACAGTGCCACCAGATCCCAGCTTCACAGATTGGCTCTTCGCTGAAGCTGCCAAAGGCGCGCCGGAATCTGAAGCACCGTCCGCTGCATCTTCAACACCTGTAGAACTACCTAATGAATCGAAACCTATCACCCACCCACCCTCTAGCGAGCCTTCGCGCCGGCCACCTA